AATATTTTTCATGGAAATGACTAAGATTGGTATCTGGAAAACACAGCAGCCATGACACTAAGTCCTGTAATAATGTGAAACTACAGAGCCATTAGGGAACTCAATTTCACATTGATTAAAACTGTGACTCCAGCATAACAACATCCCATGTCTACAAGACAAGGAGGAAAGCAATTCTGATAACAGGTTCAAACTCTTTCAGTCAAGTGATACCCTATATTTTTTTTATTTTTTATAATTTTATTTATTGAATCACCGTGAGAGCAGTTACAAAGCATTCGGGTCTAAGTCTCGGTCATACAATGAAACACCCATACCTTCACCAGTGCCCATTCTCCACTCCCAACAACCCCAGTATACCCCCATTCCACACCCTCCCCCTACTTGTGGGGCAGATGATTTCCACATTACTCTCTCTCTACTTTGATCACATTCAATATTTTGACACCAGACCCACCATTATTATTTGAGATTTTACCCCAACACTCAGATCTGCTGAAACAGTAGACAATTTGTTTTCTATTGCTGGTTATGAATAACATATGATGTCGCATGGCTGCAGTAGTGACCAAACGATTTTGAAATTCCAAAATTTTAACACTTAAATCTGGAGGGATTTCTGCCCAAATCTCCTGGGTTCCAAGGTCTGCTCCTGAGTCTCTGGGATCATGGCCATTAAGCAGCTTGATCAGGAGCCAGAAAGGCCATTCATGAGCAATGACTTGGGGTCTCATTGGGGTGGGGAGGACAGGACCGGCTCCACCCCCATCCTGTGAGACCCAAAATGTCTTGTCACTGTGGGCCCAAACCTGACTGTCTAATGGCCTCTGAACGATGATGGCCACGGAGCCGCCAAAGGGAAGCAGGTGGAGGGACAACACCCTTTCCCTCCTGGGGTGGCCCAGCAACAGTAACCTACTGTGGAGTTTGACACATTTCTGCCAAAAGCCGCTGGGTTTGGAGATTTGTTTCTGAGTCTCTGGGATCATGGCCGTTAAACAGCTTGATCATGAGCCAGAGAGGCCATTCAAGGATGATGACTTGGGGGTTTGTTGGGACGGGGAGGACAGGATCAGCTCCACCCCCATCCCATGAGGCCCAACAAGTTTTGTCACTGCGGGCCCAAGCCTGACTGTCCAATGGCCTCTGGAGGATGGCACCCACCAAGCCACCAAGGGGAAGCAGGTGGAGGGACAACACCGTTTCCCTCCTGGGGTGGCCCAGTGACAGTAACCTACTGCGGAGTCCAGACGCATTTCTGCCAAAAGCCTCTGGGTTTTGAGATTTGTTTCTGAGCCTCTGGGATCATGGCCATTAAGCAGCTTGATCAGGAGCCAGAGAGGCCATTCGTGGACGATGACTTGGGGGTTCGTTGGGACGGGGAGGACAGAACCGGCTCCACCCCCATCCCATGAGGCCCAACAAGTTTCGTCACTGCGGGTCCAAGTCTAACTGTCCAATGGCCTCTGGAGGATGATGGCCACCGAGCCGCCAAGGGAGAGCAGGTGGAGAGACAACACCCTTTTCCCCCTGGGGTGACCTGGCAACAGTAACCTACTGTGGGGTTCGACGCATTTCTGCCAAAAGCCACTGGGTTTTGAGATTTGTTTCTGAGTCTCTGAGATCATGGCTGTTATGCAGCTTGATCAGGAGCCAGAGAGGCCATTCATGGGCGATGATTTGGCGTCTCATTGGGGTGGGGAGGACAGGAACAGCTCCACCTCCATCCTATGTGGCCCTGTGTGTCTCATCACTGCGGGCCCAAATCTGACTGTCCAGTGGCCTCTGGAGGATGGCGGCCACCAGGCCGCCAGGGGGAACAGGCCAAGGCACGAAACCTATGCCCACCTGGTTGACCCAGCACTGGTAACCTACTGCAGGGACCGGATGCATTTCTGCCAAAAGCCGCTGGGTTTCGAGATTTGTTTCTGAGTCTCTGGGATCATGGCCACTAAGCAGTTCAATCAGGAACCAGAGAGGCCATGCCTCCAATTATATAGCTGAGCTAGAGGTGGTTTGTGGGTGTGTTTCCCACATACCTAACTTTTGGCCGTTTACTTTCTTGGTAAACTTTGCCCCAAGTTTTTGGGGTCTGGCCAAAGGCACAGCAGCAATTTTGGGGTATCTGGAAGTCTGAAGGCACCATCAGACTGCTGATGCACTCACCTCACAGGTACAGATTGACCTGCTGGTGGCAACATACCCCCAAGTGATACCCTATTTACAGTATTGTCTGACACCCAATAGCTAACTCTTGGGGTGCACTTTCTCCTCTTCCATTTTCCTATGTTCTCCCTCACCACTGAATCTTATAATAACAATTGCAGTAGATAGAGCACCTTTGGGGCTGGAGCGATAGCACAGCGGTAGGGCATTTGCCTTGCACGCAGCCAACATGGCCGACCCGAGTTCGATTCCTCCGCCCCTCTCGGAGAGCCCAGCAAGCTACCTAGAGTATCTTGCCTGCATGGCAGAGCCTGGCAAGCTACCCATGACGTACTCAATATGCCAAACACAGTAACAACAAGTCTCATGATGGAGACATTACTGGGCCTGCTCGAGCAAATCAATGAACAACGGAACAATGAACAATGAACAACGGGAGGACCATGACCGTGACAAGAGCACCTTTATACAGGTGAGGACACTGAGGTGTGGACAGAAATAATTCTTCAAAGGATTCACAGGTAATAGAGGCAGATAAAGAACTAGACTTATATTTACAGAATTATTATGCTCACCACATGAGATCCTGTGTAAGTCCCAATAAATACACAGTCACATGGAGGACTACACTTACTAAAGTATTCATTCTGAAACTTCTTTCTAAAGAACAACCATAACTCAGAGAAAGTCATCAAGACTGTGGTCAGTCACCGTGATCCTCAAACCTGTGATAGAAAGTCTGCCTTTAGTCCCCAGACTGTTGAACTGAGGGCCAGCTTAGTGGCTGGCCTTACAGCAATTACCTTGCATGTATGAGACCCCGAATTGCATTCTGGGTACTGCAGTGGAAAAAACAAGAACGAACCAGAGGAGATAAAGTTAATGTTGGTAAAGTACTTAAAGCAGTGAGGAACACATGTTCTTTAAATACCCAAGCTGCTAGATATCTTTAAAGACTTTCTCTTCCCAGCAAGGTAAATAGTAATACTCAATAGTAATGAGTAGTAATAAATTTGCAATAAAATTACTCAATAACAATGATGGTAAAACTTGGCTAATGTCAACTTTAATCCTCATACAATGACAGAAAATACAGATTATTTGTTTCACTTGGCAAATGGAAAAACTGGCATCTAGCACTAAGGACAATTAAAATGTGAATTTTGAATTTCATTGCTTGAAATTATTTCTGTTCTGCTCTTTTCAAATCTAGTTAATTCAATCGGCTCAGGTGATAATTTAATCATCAACTATTTTAGCCTCCCATCTGTCTAGACCTCTTGATCATCAGGAATCCTGTGGCTCTGTGGTGCCTGTTCAGCATGTTACCCCAAAACTCAAAGTGTTGCTGGGCTAAAGAATAGAGAACATGTCAACATTTTCCCTTCTGTAGTGGCAGAGATCAAACCAGGCCCTCACATATGCATGGTGAGCACTCTCCCGCTGAGCCACACCCTGCCAGTGCCAGCATTTTGTAAATGAGGATGATTACCCCCTTGAGTTTGATTTGGTGGCCTGGAATTCTCCCAAGTTCCTTTGAAATGGATTGCTCTTTCCAAGCATATTAATTTCTTCAACGTTTGCAGTAAAACTCGCGTGCCTCTAAAAAAAGAAGAAATACCAAAAAGGACAAAGCCAGCTAAGCTAAACTAGGGGTTAGACAGCCAAAGGGTCACTGCCACTGAACAGGCAGCTTATGTTGATCAGAGTACCACCAGGCAGGCACAGTCCAACAGAATGACTGACCCAGCATACGATGACAGATTTCAAATTTTAGGGTCACAGAGTTACAAGAGCCTGTAGTTCTGCAACTTGAGTTTTCTTGAGAAACACCCTGAAAAAATATGTGACTACTTATCAGTGGTTATGAGAATTCTGTGAAATTTGGCACACTCTTCTTGCAAAGACCCTGAATACCCCATCTACCCTGACCATGTCCTTAGAGAGGGCAGTAACCGGTAGTGAAAGTATCAGTCCAATCCTGGCTTCTTATCCCAGGAATTTAGGAAAACTATAAAAACATATGTATCGCAACATAAAATAGTTGGTATGATAACAAATATTATTGCATAGCATGTATAATATGTGAGCAGGTCTAATCACACTCTACAGTATATATATATGTGTGTGTGTGTGTGTGTGTGTGTGTGTGTGTGTGTGTGTGTATGACATCAATAGTTTGATGTGTTATCTAATTGAGTCTAAGCTGTGATCTGCACAGTATAAGTAGCCCCTGAGTGCAGTTTGCTCAGTCACTAGATATTAATCACCTGAACATGTCAGACACTGTGCTGGGGACACTGCTGTGAGTCAGGGAGGACACAGCCCTTCCCTCTACGACCGACCGTTACTCTCTAAGGAAAAAAAAATGGAAAGTGAAGCAATAAGAAAATAAAATAATAGCAAAGGAGAAAATAAAATAATAGTAAGGAACTGAGGGTGGGTATGATGGAAAGATATATGCGTCCAACAAGGAAGACAAGGACCTAATTGCCAAGGTCTCAGCCTCTCCTTCCCTCCCTGCATCACACACACACACACGCACACACACCGCATATACACACCCAAACACCCTCACATACTTTCTCTCAAGTCCTTTTCCCCACTCATTCCCTGCCTGTTTCTCAGCACCACTCGTTTTTGTGCGCAATCGTGGAAGTCCTACGACTGAATCCCACTTGCACCCGAATCTCTTCCTTGAACCCCCTCCCCCACCCTTTTCCACGCAACCGCTGCAGCGCGAGCACATCCAGTACCACATCCTGTAACTGTCCTGCGCTCCAACCGTGCGTGCGTACATGCATGCCAGCGAGTCAGCGAAGCCAGAGTCCACAATGGGGAATGAGGCCAGTTACCCTGATGAAATATGCCACCCTTTTAGCCCACAGGAAATTAAAAAGCTGAGCAAGAGCTTCAAGAAGTTGGATGTGGACCGGTCGGGAACTCTGAGCGTGAAGGAGTTCATGTCCTTGCCCGAGCTGAAGAATAATCCGTTGGTGAAGCGAGTGATTGACCTCTTCGATGTGGACGGCAATGGCGAAGTGGACTTCCAGGAGTTCATCCAGGGGACCTCTCAATTCTGTGTCAAGGGAGACGAGGAGAATAAGTTGAGGTTTGCTTTCAGCATCTACGACTTGGATAAAGACGGCTACATCTCCAACGGGGAGCTCTTCCAAGTTCTGAAGCTGATGGTGGGAAACAACCTGAGAAGTTGGCAGCTGCAGCAGCTCGTGGACAAAACCATCATCATCTTGGATCAAGATGGAGATGGGAAAATATCCTTCGAAGAATTCAGCAGTGTGGTTCGGGAGCTGGAGATCCATAAGAAGTTGGTGGTAGTTGTTTGAACCCTTTTGGGAGTCCCCCAATACTCTGTTTGCTTTCTTCGGTCATTCTCATTCAATTCTATCTCTTGGACTTGGAGTCACTTCTCTTTGTGAAGTCACATTTTCTTGCTTGAATTTCCTGATAAAATCTATTTCTGTATAACTCTTATTCGATAAACTCTTCTCTCACTGATTCAGGGTAACACCCTGCGTGGGGAAGAACACAAAAAAGGACGTGGTTGGTGAAGGAAAGAAAAGGACTTTTATAAATGACTTGTTTTTAGTTTTGATTCGAAGACAAAAAGTATAAAGAGTAAAGAAGAACTTTAGAAGTTCTAAAGATATGTCTTTCTTGGCTTTCATTCTTATGTTTTTGTATCTGTGAAACAATTGAATGATTCAAACCTGGTGAAGAGTTGGCATCTACTTGTGTTCAGGTATATTTTGTCAAATCATTCACTTAACAACTGTAGCCGAAGGGATAAATAATTGCTGTTACCTGAGCACTATGGGTGTGGGGGAGTTCATGGCATGGGGGCCTAGGCCAGGTTATATTCCGCTTACTCCTGGATGCCTGCCCAGGGGTCACTTCTGGTGATTCTTGGAGGATATGGCATGGTACCAGGTATAGAACCAGGTCAGCCACATGCAGGAAAAGTGTCATACCCCCTGAATTAACTCTCTCCAGCCCTTGACCACCAATGACTCTTGTCCTCAGGATGCAGCCAGAAATCCCTGAGCATGTTCTAAAAATGTAAAGTCATTATGACATAGCTTCATCCCTTGAAAAGGCACTGGTCTCATGATTCTTGCATAAGCACTAAGCCTGGACTAAGTGTTCACCTTTACGATCATCCTAGTGGGATTTCAGAAATGTTAACAGCATGTATCTTTGTAGAACGTTCTCTCATTTTCCCCACTCTCAGTCCCCATCCTCATGGCAAATAATCATTCCTCTCATGGAGCAGAGGCAATGAAGATGGGGCTGGAGTAGACTCTCCGCAGAATTCTGAAATTGCTCAAATGTTGCTGCTGGTGCTCAAAAGACACTGAGTTGGGTAAACCTGTTTGCCCTAGCTAAGCTTAGTTCGAAATCCAGGCATGGTCCCAACAGAGAAGCTGAGGGCCCCCTTATCCTATAAAAGCTTTCTTCTGGCAGAGCAACATTCATCTCAGTTTCTCCCACCCTAATAAATCTTAACTTGATGCTGTGTTGGAGCTTGTTCTCACTGGAAAAGCATCAGCCTGTATGCGTCTTGCCAATTTCTTGTTCAGTGATGATGCCTTGTCCCTAGATGAAATGGGCCACTGAGACACCAATACCTCATGGCAAAAAGGCCAGCACGTGTGATTGGTTTAATTAGAGTTGGGTTGGATGGTTAGTTTGGTTTGGATTGGGTTGGGTTGGGTTGGGTTTGGTGTAGGGGCAGTACAGTAGCAGGAGGTACCCAGCTGTCTGCACCCTGGTTGTCACAAGACCACCAAGAACAGTTCAGGAAAAAAAATCCTGAGGTGTTTCACCAGTGTTGTTCCTAACACATTGTTCCCATCCTGTTTCTCACAGTGGACACTTCACAAAAGGGGCTCAGCCCCTCAAAAAACCAGGTTATTGAAATATCCTCTTCTTACCTGTACTTGCAGATGGACAAAACTCAGGTGATTCTTCTCAGTATAAGGAAGATCCCTTTCAGGAAGATTTATTATCCCTGATGTTTTAAGGAAGCTGATAACTAGTCTTAACAAAAACTACACAAAAGAAAGAAAAATAAGGTCAACCAATTATTGTAGGGCACCCAGCTGTCTGTAGGATAACATTGCCACAGGTAGCTTAGGTTTATAGGGTTACACCCATCACAGTGCTCCCATTCCTCTGTTTATCTGCTAACTCTTCTCTGTGCTCTCCTCCCCAGCCAGTTAATCACCTTTTCTCCATAATAAGATTCTGTTAGCTTGTAAGATCAGATCCTTCTAAGGACACTGAACTTGTAAGTTATGTCCTTCGCATAGTTTACCTTAAAGCAATGTCCTTTCTGTATGGACACAGGAAGACAGCTGATATTATGCTTTGTAACTTGGGAGTTGATTGACTCCGAATAATATTCACTCCTGAGCATCTGCTTTCTTGACTCAGTTGCCCTTAGTTCCTAGCACCCCAAAAGCAGGGTCCCAAAGAGGGACTGAATGGACCCAGGGCAAGCTGTGAGCTACCCTGGCATCAAAATGGGCCAGGCCAAAGCGCCACAATACTCAACTATAAGTTGAGGGCACGATCATGGACAAATTCTGTCATGATCCAAAAGTAAGTAATGATGAGACTAGGACCCTGCTGGGGCTAGGAAGACTAACCTGGCCTGAAGACTGATATATATATATCAGTATATATATGTGTATATATATATATATATATATATATATATATATGTAGTGAGATGTCCTCAGGAAGAACCAAACTGTAAGTTTATATCTCTTACTGTGCTCATACAGAATGACATTGCTAGAAATATTGGAAGTAGATTTACTACAACTATTTAAGTAGATTACTAGCTGATGAAAGAACACACCCTTGTTGGGATCCCACCCTTGAGCAGATCTCCGAGTTATCTGGAATAATCTCTTTAGATGAGATTTTTATCCTTGAGTTAATCTCCTCAAGGAGTGGTTGTACCTTTCTTTGCTGGTTTGTTAATGTTCAACACACCTTTGTGTCACCAGCCTACATGATTGCTATATAAACTAAGATAGATTGTAAGCTCAGACAGGGCGAGCAGAGACGAGACGAGACGGAAGCTCAGGAGAAGCTGAGGCTCAGGTGGGGGCTTGGGCTCGAGAGAGCGAGAAGGCTCAGGCTGAGGAGAAGGCTGAGGCTCAGACTCAGGCTCAAGCTTGGGCTCGGGCTTGGACTCAAGAGAGCAGAGACTGAGGCTCAGGCAGAGGCTCAGGCTGAGGTGCGGGCTCGGGCTCTGGAGCTCAGGCTCCAGAGGGCAGAGTCAGAGGTGAGAGTGAAGATTGAAATAAACTACAATTGATACCGACCAGCCTGGCCCTCGTTCGTTCCTTTGCCTGCCCATCGCCATCAACCTCCCTGGGGTGGGGGAAACAGCTCGAGACTACAGAACGTGGGCGGTAGAGATAGAGTGCCACCGGCCTTTTGAAAACACACACTGCCCTAGGCACCTTGCCATACTTTTTACTTAATAGATTTTTTTTTTTTTTGCTTTTTGGGTCACACCCGGCAATGCTCAGGGGTTACTCCTGGCTCATGCACTCAGGAATTGCTCCTGGCGGTGCTCGGGGGACCATATGGGATGCTGGGAATCGAACCTGTGTTGGCCATGTTGGCTGCGTGCAAGGCAAACGCCCTACCCGCTGTGCTATTGCTCCAGCCCCTTAATAGATTTTTTGAGAACTACAAAGGGTTTAAGAATCCTGGCTATCCCTTTTAGTTGTGGATAGATTTTTAAAATACTAGAATAGTCTCAACTCTAGTAGCACTGAGGCCTGACCCCATTGCAGAACACACTCATACACATATATATTTTTTTGGATTCACCTACATTTGGCTTTTATCAGCCATTGTACTGACTGCACAAGCAGGAACAAATTTCCCACCCTCCACATCATTCCTTCTGAGCAAAATAAAGATTGGTCCCAGAATTACTTTGAGGATTCCAAAGGATAAGCATATAAAGGGACTAGAGTACAATTGATTTCTACTGATTTCCCTTCTTTCTCTTCTGTTACAGCAATAAACAAAGGAGACAGGTGTGTTTCACCCTACACTCTAAAACTAACTGGATATTTATGCAATTCTAAGCCAGAAACCAAGGGATTAAAAAATAAAAAAAAGAAAAAGAAAAGTTCTCCCCATCCCACCCCCATCCCTCATTTGCAGACATGAATCAATAGATTATTTTGGCAGAGGATCTTGCAGTCGTGCTAAGGGTTCTGTGCTAAGGGCTCGCTCCTGGTGGTGCTTGGGGAACCAAATGTAGTGACAGGGATTGGAGTAGAGTCAGCCACAGGCAAGGCAACCACCTTAACCTCTTGTACTTTTTTCTGTCCTCAGTAGACATCTTGTTTTTGTTTGTTTGTTCAATTTGTCTTGATCAACACCTGGCATTTTCAGGGCTTACTCCTGGCTCTGCACTCAGAGATCACTCCTGGTGGGGCTCTAAGGGCCATATGTGGTACTGGGGATTGAAACCAGATCAGCCATGTGCAAGTCAAGTGCCCAACCCGCTGTACTATTTCTCTGGCTCTCAATAGACTTCTCGACTGGTGAAACTCTCATTCTAGCCCAACCTAAGAGGGTTTAGGCAAACCTGCAAGAGAAAATGGAGTTTAAAAGATTACATGTTATAGGGCCAAAGCAATAGATCAGTGGATAAGGCACTTGCCTTGAAGGCAACTGACCCGGGTTTTATCCCTAGCATCCCATATTGTCCCCCTAGTGCAGAACTAGAAATAAGCCCCGAGCATGGCCAGGTGTGGCCCCAAAACCAAAAGCAACAGCAACAACAAAATTATATATTCTAGAATGTGCATATTAAAATTTGATAATTAAAATTTTATGACCAAGGATTTGAAACATCTTGGATAATATGTTCCACATTAATAGGAGGAGGGAAAATGTTTCAGTCTCAAGTGACTAGATATAACTATATTTGCCATATTAAGTCACAACATAGTGACCCAAGTCTCTGTGGCAGTGACCTAGAACTGGTAATCTTATTTCTAGCATTAGCTCTGAAAAATTCTGATAGTATAGCTATTGAGGAAGAAAGATTATATTCACTTCCAAGTTAGATCATTTTGTGATCTCTTGTTGTTTCTCTTAGTTAATTGCAGGATGCCCACAAATTTAGTTCTGTACTGATATTTGGGGTGGCAATAATAGTTAACAGTATTGAACAACTACCCTGTTGGGGATGACAATCCTTTGTGGAAGAATGCACTGAGAAAATCATAGGAAGAAAGAAAGTTTATTGGGGGAAACAGACTATTGGCAAAGAGACAAGCAG